AACACAATAGTCATTTTTAAAAAGTATACTTATATAGATATTAGGTAGTAAAAATCTTAAAATACTATATGTTAGTACCACCGAGCGGAATTTTTGTCTCCCCACTGTATATAGCGCGTACCAGGCATGTTCGGCCTCATTGGCTGCCATCGCTGGCAGAGGAAATAAAAAATACCCAATCCAAGAAGCACCTTGTCCGTAGTTTGGCCCAGCAACTCCTTTACCAGAAGGTACAGGTCTAGCTGCGAGCCCATTTCAGCCATGAATTCCGGTGAGTAAACCTATTGTCAAGACCTGCATCAGCTTTGTTAGGTAAAGGAAGCGACCTAGCGTACTATGCGGCTATACTGTAGCTCTAGAATCCTTGTTGTAGAATCTACTGGGTGCAATACTTCTGTTCCGCGGCTGAGAGTATCTGTTTGAAGCATGAGCCGTTCGGAGTCGTTTTGCTCTGGCTGCTGCACTCCAACACTGAGCTCTATATTCGTCGTCTGATCTGGCGGCTGTGAAAGGAGGCGGTCTTGTGGTCGGCCAATATCATTGGCTGAACTCCGTAACTTATCTGCGTCCTTGATGTCTGCAGGTCTAATGAGATGCTGAGTATTAATGACACGTGTGTTCAACTCACCACTTGCCGTCTCTATGGCTGCCAAGACTGGTAGTAATAAAAGAAACATTGGCATAAGCTGGCCAAAGCTCGGTTCAAACTTCAACTGATCGTTTGTGAGGAAAATGGCAAGTTGTCCCAGGCCGTAAGTAAAATAAAAGATGAGCCACATCATCTCCCACAGGAAAGAGTCACAAAGCTCCATATGCAAAACCTTGATAGCCCTCAATGTCCTGGATAGCTTGGCCGTCTGACACAGCCCAGGAATTAAACCCAAAGCCATGGTATATTGTTGGAGGCCCTTCTCACTTGTCCTCGGCAGATCTGTACCTGGACGTTTCGAGATCCAAGATTCAGGATACAGCTCCCTACATCTCTGATAGTATCCATCTATGAGCATGATAAAGATGATTATCTGGTTGAAAATTGCAGATAGAGGCTTAAAAGTGGAGTTTCCCAAGTGTAAGAAGCTGAAATGCCGAAACGCACATGCCACGGATACGTGAGAGTCTTGGAGAAATGTACCTGATTGTCCAATGGCAAGATTCGCAATCAATATGACGAGAATCACGCCCATAGAACCGAAGCGTAGCCCCCGTAGGGCCTTGTGTCCCAAAAAGTAGTCGCGAAGCACCGTGACGCACGACAAATGTGTGAGAGCGGCGAAGAAGGCTGACGACGTGGCGATTTGATACGAGTAGACCGACCAGGTTCTGCTGAGCTCTTTTGAAGCACAAATAACATTTGTGCTCACCAAGAGCGCGAAGCCAGTAATCAGCTGCTGGTCGCTGACAGCGAGGATCAGTCTCTCGTACGCCTTGAGCTTCTTCTCGCGGCGCACCGCCGTGTTCTGGCGCGAGAGGCGAGGATGCGCCGACGGGTCCGGGGGCGCGCGCGGCGGGGTCTCGGTCGATGATGGGAGGCGGCGAATGACGAGATGGCCGCGCCAGAAGAATGTGGACAGGAACTGCACGTCTACGCTGTTGTAGCGATGAGCGGGGAGCTTCCCCCGCGCGTAGACCCATGCTATGGTGACAATGGTGAGAGTGACGGACGCCACGAAAGAGGCCACCACCTGCAGTTTGTTAGCTGAGGTAGACGCAAAGCAAGGGCAAGTCTTGGTGGTGCAAGCTTACGCCCCAGCCAGTGATGTCGGGGTCTGCAATGTTTTCGAGGTAACAGTCATTCGTCTCATTGCTCGTCGCCGGCTCGAGCCGCTTGAGGATAGCCATGGCTTGACTGACAAGGCAAAACAAGCAGATTATCCTTGAAGAAAAAAAAAAAACTATCGTGGTCAAATACAGGCTGCGACAAAAAGGGGATATCTCTTGGTAAAAACTGTTGAATTCGTGACGGCAGCGCGCACATGTGCCAGATGTAGGGAAAGTTAACCACCTGGTGACAGAAGAGAAGTTTGGGAGATATTCGATTCTACATGATCACGAGAGCTTCGCGCCCAGGCTTCGAGACAGCAAGCAAGGGTTGTCCCTACCTCCATGAGGTTTGTCTGTCGATCTTTCAGCCTCCGATCAGTAATTCGCCCTAGGCCTGCATCGAGGGGCTGACTACGCGCCCGACCAGCAAGGGTAGCCATCCAAAGTCTCGTAGGAGAAGTGATGCTGGGTAGAAACTAGCTGACTGGCGTCTGTATGTCTCTTCTCCAACCCCAGGCGAACTGTGCTGCATTTGTGGCGTACAGACAGAGCGCGAGAGACACTGAGAAAGCGCGAAAAAAAAGGAGCACACTATCATTAAAGATCCGGTGCGTATCTTGTATCCTGACGGCGAAGGAGGAAGATCTGGCCAAGGAGGTATACGAATAGGTGCCGCCCGGGGAGGGGTATCTATCTTCCCCGACATGCATGTCACCAGCCCCGACGCGTGGTCGGCTATGACCCAAGGAAATCAACACTGAATCGTAGAATACTCTGGTAACTTTACCCAAACAAGAGAGACCAATCTACCCCACCCTCGTTAGATCGCCGCAGTAGTTTGAAGCAAAGGTAGCAGGCGTCTTCACCAACAATAGCTATATTAGTGGATAGAGGAGGATTTCAAAGTTACACATCTTTCTTTCTATGTGCAATAGCAGGTGCTATATTATATACTGTACCGTATACATCCTTCGTACACAACTTGTCGTCGACGGATTTCGGGAACTACCAGTAAAGAGGCCGCTATTCAGTCGCGTTATCATTTATACATATTTAGGCTAGAACCAAGATAAAACGCCGCGCAGTTTTAGCGTAATTACGTAGATAGGTATTTGTATTTGTATAAATTGTTGAGTGACTTTTAGTTGCACTGGTAAATATTTGCTTACTACGAAGCATGCCCTGGATATGGCTGAGCGGTCAAGTCCTCGTTTTATCAGACGTAAATATGACACTGAGACTTGTCCAATAATGATCAGGCATTACACGCGTGGCGCTGAAACATTAGCCGCACATTCCATCAGCTCCGTGGATCAGGAGCACCTTTTAGCAGAAGCTCGACAGGTCTAGGCATGGCCGCATCGGCTACCCTAAGCCCACTGACGGCGGTGCAAAGAGCACCCAACATGAGTCTGTGGCTTCTGACGAGCTGAAGGGGTCTTTTAAGTAGAGAAAAACTTAATTAGATCTTAAAAATAATTTTATTAGCTATAGTTCTTATTTTATTTATAGTTAAAGTAGGTGTATTTTAGTAGTACTAGTACTTACTATACGGAGTTTTTGGCAAGCTACTATACCTTCTAAAGTCCGTAACGTACTACCAGTCAACCCGGAAGGTCCTAAGGTAATATAATACTCTAGTAGAGTAATTATTTCCCTATATTAGAAGATGGGCTTTAACATATAATGTAAATATGGAATATATATATCAGACACAGTACTAATGTTTGACTCTTAATATAACCCACGAGATCAGTCGATAACCAACCGTAATGGCAATGACAATCCCGATGTCTCTGCCAAACCGTCCGCCCTCCTTGTATCCGTACAAATCCAAAATGGCTTCACCACTGATGTGACATTGGTCTGCGACAGCTGAGCCGTATATGCAGTGGCAGCCTTGACCGCAATCGTAGACTGCCCCGACAAGTTGACTGTGCATCAGCCCCTGGAATGAATAAGCAAGATAGTTCCAATAGTGGAATGCATATTTGTAAAAGCTATTCAGCTCGGAATATGGTATGAGAAACCCCTGTGTGCAGAGCCAAAGACTGTTTAGAAACGAGGCCAAGGCGATGGAAAACATAAAGTTTGGGAACACCGAGACCACAAAGACTATGAGTGCCTCGGCAGCAAATGAGGTGAGAAAGATCCACAAGTACCAGGTCCAGAAGGCTACTGATGTAGAAGATAGATTTGATAGCCAATAGCAGATAATGGCGAACAGGAAGCTCAGGAGCAGCGTGTATGGTATGCTGACAACAAAGTTGGCCACCAAGAACTCGGTAGGACCGTACAGGCCGTTGCGAAAGTCTAGTACAAACTGGTCATGGTCTTCGATGAATGCCGGCGCGTAGATGATTGCCGAGAGGGACATAAAACACGGGATAAAGCAGAGCTCGCTGAGCAGTGCCTGTATGGATTCCTGGCTATGATCCAAGTGTAGCCACACCGTTCCTGTCAGCAACGCAAATGATATTGAGAATAGCAAGCGAATCCCGTAAGCCATCGGGTCACGGTATGACTTTATCAAATTCCGTACAATCAGGATCCGAGCTCGCTGATACAGGCTTGGCCGATGGCTTGCCTCGATGACCAAAGGTTCTGTTACACACTCGGCACGCAATACCGCTTCGTGCAGTTCCTTGGCAGCGGCAGAGTTGGCCCAGGAAGCTTGAAGCTCATCAAGTCGACGATTGGCAACTGCTCTATCTTGGACAAAGTCAGTATTGATCAAGCCAAGGACGAACTCTGGTATATTCATCGCAATTGGTATGTCAACGCCGAGTTTTTGATAGTACTCAGCCACCTCCTCCACAGCACCAAAGTAGTGTGGTTTGCCAGCGGACAGCACCAGTAGCTTTTGGAAAAGGTTAAAAGTTGCCGCGGATGGCTGATGAATGGAGCATATTATGATGAGTCTCTGCCGCCTTGCCAATGTTTGCAAGCAGCGCACCACCTCGAAACTCGCAGCAGAGTCCAGGCCCGTGGTAGGCTCGTCGAGGAACAGCACTTTTGGTGCTGCTACCAACTGCCTCGCAATCATGACGCGACGTTTCTGGCCATCGGATATACCTTGATGGATTGGAGTGGCAATGACTGCATTCTTCTGCTCAACTAGACCAATAGACTGAAGCAGTGTGTCTATCCGGCGCATAGCTTCTTTCTTTGGTGTTGACCTAGCCCCATAGTTGGTTAGTTTTTTTTTTTTTTTTTCCAACAAAAAAACACCTGTAAATAAATGCTGGGATTTCGGCCTTGAGACCTACCTGCAAAGAGGGCAAAGGCAAAAAACTTACTTGGCTAGGCGTAGATTCGTTAGCAGACTCTCTGCAACACTCAATCCACCTGTCAGCACCTCGCGCTGCTCGACAAAGGCACTGATATGGCGAAAATTGGTCTGCGACAAGGCGCGACCATTGACGAGAACGCTGCCTTGCACACTGACGGCGTGATTTGGCCGACGAGCCAGGACTTTCAACAAGGTTGTCTTGCCACTGCCTGAAGGCCCAATCAAGGCACAGCATTCTCCTTTTTTACCGGTCATGTCAGCACCTTGTTCCGTTATAGCAGAGCGCTCACACTTTTTTTTTCTTTTTTTCTTGTGTGTGTGTGTGTGTGTGTGTGTGTGTGTGTGTGTGTGTGTG